GGGAGGGGGAATAAGAAGAGGGGAGGGAGGGGAATAAGAAGAGGGGAGGAGGGGAATAAAAAGAGGGGATAGGGGGAATAAGAAGAGGGGAGGGAGGGGAATAAGAAGAGGGGAGATAAGAAAAAGAGGGGGTAAGAAGAAGAAGGGGTGAGTAAGAAAAAGATGGGGGAGTAAGAAGAAGAAGAGGAGGGAGTAAGAAAAAGAGGGGGGAGTAAGAAGAGGGAGAGGTGGAATAAGAAAAGGGGGAGGGTCGAGTAAGAAGGAGGGGAGGGCGGAGTAAGAAGGAGGGGAGATAAGAAAGAGGGGGGTAAGAAGAAGAAGAAGGGGTGAGTAAGAAAAAGAGTGGGGAGTAAGAAGAAGAAGAAGAGTGGGGGTAAGAAGAAGAAGAGGGGGTAAGAAGAAGGGGGAGTAAGAAGAAGAGGGGGAGTAAGAAGAAGAAGGGGGAGGAAGAGGAAGAAGAAGAAGGGGGTAAGAAGAAGGGGGGTAAGAAGAACAGGTGGGGGAGTAAGAAGAACAGGTGGGGGAGTAAGAAGAACAGGTGGGGGAGTAAGACGACCAAGGGGGGGAAGTATGAAGAACACAGGGAGGAGGGGGGTAAGACGAACACAGGGGGTGTGAGGAGAACACATAGAGGGAGGAGTGAGAAGAACACAGGGAGGGTGGAGGGGGGGATGAGAAGAGCACAGGGAGGGTGGGTGAGTGTGAGAAGAGACCGCTAGGGGAGTGGAGAGACCACTAAGGTGCAGGGGAGAGCTCTACGGGACAGAAGGGGCAGCTCTATAGAACAGGGGCCAAAACAGGGAGCTCTTTCACACTACGCGCGCGCACACACACACACACACACACACACAATGCATCCCTATACATACACAGAAACACAACCATGCTTCCCTTACACACAGAGAAACACACAATGCATCCATTACACACACAATGCATCCATTACACACACAATGCAACCCTTACACACAAAGACAATGCATCCTTTGCACACATACACAGAAACAGACAATGCAAACCCGTACACACGCATGCAAACACACACACTTTTCTTACATACACACAGAAACACAATGCATCTCATGCACACACATACAGACACACACCTTGCATCCCTTATGCATACAAACACAGATTCACACAATGCATCCCTTACACACAACCAGAAACACATAATACATCCCTTATACACAAATACACACTGCTTCCACTACACACAAACACACTACATCACCTGCACAAACTGGTAACCCTATACACTACATACCATAAGCACACATATTAGATCCTCTACAATAACACATAACACATCCCCTACACACTCCACTCCCTGTGAGCGAACTCATGGGTGGGTGGAATTTATGAGTGGGCCTTATGGGCATACTCACCATCAGGCCCTGGGGCCCAGACCTTGAGCTGTGTAAGGGGCCCCAAAAAATGGAGCTGCTTCCAATTCTCCCAGAACATTGAATTTTGTGACCACAGTTGCAAACAGCCTCCAGAGATCCTGTTCTACACCAGACCAGTGGAGCCAAACTGCAGCCCATCATCATCCTCATCTGCTTGTAAGTAGGCAATCTAGTATATTATTAGTGACACTAATCTATAATGTACCTCACATTAAAGGGACACTATAGCTTAATGAAGTGGTTCTGGTGTCTATAGCTGGTCCCTGCAGGCTTTTTAATGTAAACACAGTGTGCAGCACTGGCGTTAGTTCATATGGGTGGGGCATTGTGATGTTACATGGGGGGGCAGCAAATTTTTATTTTGTCTAGGGCGGCAAAAATCCTTGCACCGGCTCTGATCCTGGGCAGGTGCACCAGTCTACTGGTGACCCACAGGAGGGGAGTGCACTGATTGCACTGCACTCTCCTCCTGTCCCAGCCCCATCTTTACCGCAGTGCAAGTGCCCTCTGCCCCTAATTTACAGTGGCTCACACTCACAACAAGCAGTGCCTGGAGCCGTGAAGGAGCGGGTATGGCAAAGAGCTACTGATTAGCATAACATCAATATCCGTTATAAAACCAGGAAAAGGTGGGCATGGATGGTGAACTGATTTGGTGGTGCAATGGGCCACTTGACTGGTTTTGCCCTCCAGGCCTAAGGCTGCCAGCCCTCCCCTGGGGGGTACGGACATCCGAACAAAGGGAATGAAAAGAGGGTATTACAAGCGTTCATTCTGCTGCACTGACTATAGTGTTCCTTTAAACACAACTAACCTTTTCAACATTCAAAACACAGGCACACAAAATGATATGTACATAGCCATATTGCCCCATTATACAGTCATGTTGCATACGTTTGCGACTATAATAATATTATAGTATTAATACTAATACGAGAAATGACAAAATAATATACACACACACACACACATAGACTACATGAATGACGCTGATCATTTAGGAAAACATTAAATTATAGACAAAAAACAATAACAAATTTTAAGTAATTTAAAATATATATAATGTTGGTGCATTTGGTTTTGGTATTTCATGTGTCTTGGACTACAAATCCCATCATGTGTCTTGGACTACTAATCCCATCATGTGTTGCAGTCTGCAACATATGGAATCATTTTATTAGCTTTTTCTGTTTTACTGGGAATCTTTGTTTCCTCTTTCTGCTGTGTGTCTAGTTATTCACATTGAA